TGAAATAGCATCCCAAATGGGAAGATAATATCTTTGTTAATCAAAAAACTATTTAAAAACTCAATTAACAAAACATTATGCTATATAATTAATCTTCATTGCATTTCATTTTCCTTCCCATCCCCCCTCCAAAGTAGTTAATAAGTCTGAATTTTATTGAAATAATCAATAGGCTACATTTCATAAAATAATATAATCTAGCTATAGAAGGTAATCAGACACTTTTCTCTGCCAGAAGTAATTAAGTCAAAACCAGCAGAAATCTCTTTTATTCCAAGTAGTATTGAAACTACAGAGCCCTTGAATGAAACCTGAACAGCAAAATTACAAGAGCAGAAATCGCAACAAAACCATGTGGCTTGGTTCCCAAGAAACTAGGGCTTCAAAAATTAAACAGAACAATAAATAGAGTTATGAGAAAATTAAATTGCTAGGAATCTGGAAAAACAGACAAGTAGAGACCTGATCACATTGAGATGAGATATGCTTAGATAACCATAAGCTTTGGAGTCATCATGTTTTACATTTGTACATTGGGTTTGTATTTGAGGGATTTGGGGTTCATATGCTTTAAAAGTTTCCCCAATTTTTCATAAGATTAACACATGACTCATTGTAAAAACTTGGAAAATGAAGATAAGAGGATCAAATATGTAAGCCATCTATAGTGCATAATCAAAAATTAATCATGGTGAACTTTTTGGTGTGTTTCCTTCTATTCTTTAAAAACAACATGCTTGAGGGGCTAGGGATTTAGCTCAGTGGTTCTGCTGCCTGCCTTGCAAGTGCAAGGTCCTGAGTTCAATCCCTGGTACCAAAAAACAAAACAACAAAAAAAGTGCTTGATCATATTATAGCTATATCTGCAATTTTTAACTTGACCTATGAGCATTTTCCACTCTTAAATACTGGGTATAGGTCAAAAGCAAATCCTTTGCTTCTTGATTCATATTAAAGTGTGTACTCCTCATAGACTCACACATAAGAAGAAATGAATCCACTTCCTCAGTTATTTGCTTGGGAAACGGTGTTTAATTTCTACATAGTAATCGTCTTGTTACGGTAGTCAATTAGCAGCCTTTAATACATGACTGTACTTCAAATTGTTCTCAGCATAGATGACTTTTTTTTGTAGCAAGGGTTTAACAACCCAGAGGATAGATAATTCCGCATATTGAGGGAATGTGGCATGTGGCATGTGGCCTTCCACTCAACCTCCAACATCCTCTCTCAGGACCTATTTCTATCAATTTTTCCCTAAATCAACAAATGGTGTAAGAAGAGTTTGGAGGTAGACAGAGCAGGACCCCCTTTCTTGATCAGTTTTTTAGCAGTGTCCCGATCTCTTGTGTTCCCAGATTAGGCTTTGATTTCGTCAGATGACACACAGCCATCTGCTTTTCAGACCCTAAAATATATGCAGGGATTAATAACCTCTATTCAGTATGCCAAACTCACAGAGAGAGCATGTCGAGTTTCCTGAAATGTATTCCCAGAATAACATCCAATGAATCTTAAGACAGGAAGTCATATTCGAAAAAACACCTGTGTATAATCTACATTAATTGAAGACTATAGATAACGGGTTTCCTATAATTTGGTCATAAAGTTGGTATTTATGAGAATAGCTATTATTTACTGAAGACCTACTCTGTGTGTGCCAGGGACTGCTAAGCATTTAGCAATTGTGGTTTCTAAGTTCTTCAAGACCCTGAAAGGTACAGAAGAAAATTGGGTCTGAGAGAGACTGACATACATGGTTGGCCAACTGTATCTCTGAAAATGTCAAATAGGAAAAATCACCCCCACATACCATTAGTAGACAGAAGAAAGTAAGCTGCATTCTGCTGAGGGAGCCATCTGATTTTATTGATTTTTTCTTCTATTTCTAAACTCTTCAGGTAATCGAATTCAGGTTCATGGCTCTGGAATGTGCTGTAAACATTGTATTCACCCCTACGATGAACTTGATTTTTACTCTGTAGGAAGGGAAAAATTACACAAAAGATTAAGTCATAGAAGCCAATTTCAAACTCACCAATTCATCTTTTTCTCTGAACAGAGTCATTCGGGGTGGGCAAGGGAGGCTGTGTCACAGTGGGATGAGGCCAAAACCAGGATGATCACATGTGCCACCTTAGCTCAGGGGCCTCCAAAGCTTTAGATCGATCGTTCATCTTGTAGGTAAATATTGGTATCTCCAACACACATATGCTTACTTATAAATTAAAACATGGACTTCTGCACTGATAACAAACATCATAACATATGTATAGAAATAGAAGTTAGAATGGGACAAGACTTTAAAATTGATAGAAATAGAAGTTTTAATATTTTCTTTTTGTACCCCAATAAATGCCTCACACAACTTCTGGAGTGAGATAGCCTATGCTGGTGGCCACAGATGCTTATAATCAATCCCTTTCAAAAAGCACAAAGTTGTAGCAATTGCAACTTTTACTTTTACTTTATGGTCATTGGGCTTTAATAACTCACCTGATCCTCACACAAAATTTCTGAGAGGTGGGAGGCAGGACGGGCAAATAGATAAATGAGGATAAAAGATATTGGATGACTTTCCCAAGGTGACACAGTTCATAAAGAACAGATTTGAGCATTGCACCTTCCTTTTTCCCAAGGAGTCTCTCGAAGCAGACAGGAGCACAGAGGTGCCAGCTGCATCTTTAAGAGGAAGAGGAGACTTAACCTCTGGTTTTCCTCTAGCACTGATTATGCAAAGTGCAAACAGCAGGAATTAAATAAATGACGAGAGAATGAAACATAAGGCCAAGGGCCTGCAGAAAGGGTGAAGAGAAAGGAAAATAAAGAGGAAGAGGAGGAAAAAGGAGGTGCTAAAGTGAGAAAAAGAAGGGGGAAAAGGCAGCAAGGATTTATTTACGGTGTGGTGGATCATTCAAAGAACTTTGAGATTTAGACTTTGGAAAGCTGTTTACAAATTCAGATCTGGGTCTTATTAAAGGTTTGTTATAAAAGCTTGATTTTTAATAAAGGGTTTAAGGAAGGTTCCTGCATGAAACAGAACATCCAAAGCCATATCTCAACTTAGCAGTGGGTAGTGACACTGGACCCAGGTGTGAAGAGCTATTAGATCTAAAGCTTTGGTCCCAGCATGGAGGGGTCCACAAGCAGCCTCTTTGGGACTTGCAGAGTTCACCCACAAAAGTTAAAAGCAGGCCTGCTCCAAAATGATGTCATATGGCTTTGCTGGTGAGGTTCAGCTTGTATTTTAATCCCTAAACGCCTCACCAAGCCAAACACTTAACTGCAAGTTCTTTATCTTCATTCACATTTATCTTCCAGTGGACACCACCACCTTACTTTGGAAAATGTATCCCCCATCATTCTACTAACGAGTCGTATTTCTCAAATATTTCTGTAAATTAAAATGGGTGAAACCTATAAATAGCTAACAGAAAATGTGGGGTGGAATATTACTGGCGACATGCTGCCTTGGGTAATTTATGCTAAATAGCTCCTCTGGTTCCTCTTTATCATCACTGTGAACCTAATTGGATTTTTTTTTTTTAAATCAGAGAAGGTTTGAAAATCAGTTTTCAAAGGACTTTAAATGCTGACATACTCGCTACTACTACCCTGTTTACTTGCACCGAGCACCAGTCCACCTTAACAATAAATTTATGAGTGTTGATTTGCTACCATCCAAATCAGACTGTCAAGTGTGTGTAGTATGTGCCAGACCAATTAGCACCAGGCAGCTCCGGAAAAGCAGGAAAAATTCCAGGTCACGAAGAGCTATTAGTTCCTACTTGCCAACCACATTTTCACGTTTCCAGGGCCAATGCAATAGGCTGGGTGCCTGATTTAATGTTGAGCACTTGAATTTATACAGAACCCCGAGGGATTAGGATGCCCTTATAGAAATTAATTGCAAATAATGTGCAATTACCAAATATATCACCTCTAAATGAGGCTTTCCTTTTTTGAGGGGAGGTGTAATGCAAATGGCTTTGAGGCACAAAGCAAGCATCAAATTGCTAGGGAAGTCTCTTGTGAAGCCTTCCTCTTCCACTGGGCCTCCCTCTAGCTTCCCAAGTGCCCAGTGAATCTCAGAGGCAGGCAGTGGCAGATGGGAGAGTTACTAGAACACAGACTAGCCTGCTGGAAGCTCCAAGACCATGCCAGGGGAGGACAAGTAAATCAAACTGGGCCATAATTTCATTCTGACAAAACAGAAGCAGACACCAAAAAACTCAATTTATATGAAAAAGAGAAACAATTCCTAGTGGAACCCAAGTCTCAGGAAGAAATGGGCTTTTTGAGATGCACTAGAAGTTCAATCTCATGCTCAGAAATCATGCTGCATATAGCACTCAGCACCAGGGACATTCTTGTCTCCTATGCTAACGTGTCTGCCGTGTGCTTCCGCCGAGATGTCACTTTGTAGGACACCACTCCTGTTGGAAGGATGAGCTATCATTTTCTTCTCTTCTGACTCAAGTTGTCCTCTTCACATCTGTTGGCAAATAAATCTATTTTTTCCCCTCCTCCATATTCTGGCAGTACCTGACATTGAGGGAGATTGGATTTCAATAGACTGAGGACAAATCGCAGGTCAAAAGGAAGAGTTATGCTCAATAAGCACCCATGGAATTTTGCAGGTCAGATAAGAAGTAAAATTCTTTTGCATGTGTACTATCCAGGCATGGAAAGATAAGGCCACGTGTAGGAAAAGCCCTTTTTTAGGGTGTTTTTGCAAATCTGAGTGTGGAGCTGGTGATGCTAATGACTTTTTGGCAGTTTTCAGTTTTCGAACAAAGAAGGAAGGTCAAGGGTGACACATGAGGATTAAGGAACAGTAGGAGGCCTCCTTTAAAAAGAGAAGAAAATGGGCATTTTGCATTCACTGCCACTTACCTCCTGCTCTCGTTGAAATATTACAACCCGACCCCCCTTGTCCCCTGTCGCTAGTAATTCTCCCGTGTGGTTGAATTCTACCGTAGAGATAATGTCAGCTGAAACGAAGAAGACAAAGGCAATTTAAGTAACTGCACACTTACTTTGAAAGGGGAGATAATAGGCATACTTTTCTATGCATTTAAGGGCTTAGAGCTTTGTCTCTGCAGTGGAATTTACAAGGGTTTTATGTTCCGTATTTTAAATGCCACAAGGAGTGGCACTTGGGAAAGTAAATTTCCTAGATGCCCACACTGCACGGTGGTCTCTTGGAACATCTGGAGATAACAAAAAAGGACCCTTTTGTTTGGGAAAATGAATTTCTTTATGGCTCAGGGAAATGGCAGTTTTCTCAGGTGATGTCTGCCAACCACAGCCCCTTCACCCGCTCGTGGCCTTTTGCCTTTCCGAGTGCATATTCAACACGGGGAGACGTCCCCAAATTTGGTATGATTGTGGCAATTCAAATTAGGGCTGACAATTGAAATGAAGCAGGGGTAGGACGCTTGGAACTCTGATGCCAAAACTGGAGGAAGAGAGCAGAAAGAGACCCTTGGAAATTCGAGGAGGATGCCGTAAAGCTTGACCCAGGTTCCCCCTTTTTGTGTTAGCCCAACACACCCTTCTGAAAAAGCAAGGACTCAGTCCAACTCCAGGAGAAGGGTGCTGAGAAAAAAAGGTCATGGGGTCAGAGGAGAAAGGGCAATCTGTACTCTCTATTTCTAAAAGGAGAAAAGGCACAGGCGCCAGTGACTCAGGTCACAGATAATCGCCGAAGGAATGCCAGCCTGCCAAGTCTTTCTTCGATGCTGGTTACTTGGAGGAACACGGACAGGTAAATTACTTATGATTGGATTTATTAGGGCTATTTTTAGAGAAATGTCAGAGGTTAATTCTCCCCAATTATTCCCCCATAGGGCTCCAACAATTGCTACCAAGAGTGCAAATGAGTTTAAAAAAAAGAAAAGAAAGAAAAGAAGGAAGAAAAGAGAAATTATGACTATGGCCTTTGACTGAGGAACATTCTGAAGATTATGTCTGTCTAAGAAAAGCAATGGGGAAACAGTGAGGTGGAAAAGTAAGGCAATTACCCCTGAATAATTGAAATCTCCAATCTTACTTTTATATTATCAGTTCAGGGGTTTCCTTATATGCTTGATTTATTCAGGTAAGTAGTGTAAAATTCTTTACTTTTTATATAGTAAAGTATCTTTTTCCATATATAAAAGCCTCCTACTAGTCATCCTTTGTGCAGAAGTGAAAATAGTAAGGCATAAGCCTTAGTCACTTGCAACTTAGGCACATTTAAAGATAAATTCACAGTTTCTTATTTTGACCTCTTAGATGATTCACCCCAAAGGTAACAAACCCAAATCCTACACAAGCATGCAATAACATGGATGAAGTAATCGAGGTATACTAAAAAGGCTGTGTGGCTCTTTTTAAGGGACAAGTAACTACTCAGCTTAAGGCAACTGGAGCTACAAAATATTTCATTGTCTGATGTTCTTATTTTTTTTGAAGCAGCAGCTAGGTATCCAGGTTTTATGTAAAAATCTCTTACATTTTATATTCTGGTGACTAATTTTTTCAACATCATGACAATAAGAACTATCTTGTTTCTGGGTTGAATATGGTCTATGAGTTATGACTTCTGGCCTATAGAGGCTTCATCTGGAAAAGCCCATCCCATTCCTTATTTATTAATGGTCTAAACTGGAGATCGAGTCCATTTTCTTAGGAAGATGCCTCCAATGAATAAAGCTAAAGGAAACTATGCTGAGCTCTTAATATAACTTCAGCAGGCCTATTTATATATCCAGTGCCTGGGAGTTGAAGAGTAACAAAGTCCCGCATTGCTGGGAAAGCAATCACTTTCCTTGGTTATAGTTTGTTCATTTTAGCAAATCGTTCTCATGTATATAGGAGAGAAGGTGGCTTATAGTAGGTGCAGTTGCCCTGGGATGTCCTGACTGTAAAGCACGGAGTGCTAGGATATATTTCTCACATCACTTCTGCTTCTAGGTTTCCAGTGCGGGGTTAGCAAAGGGTTAAGCATAGAGCTTCCAGATCTGGATAGAGCCTAAGGCAGGTAGGCTGTTTCTTTTCACTTTCAGGCCCTGTCAAGTACTCCAGGATGAGTCAAGGCTCTCAAATTGCTCAAACATTAACACTTCCCAGAAAGAGAGCAGCAGGGGGCAATGGGAGGGTGATGGGAGACCACGCCTGGGTTAGCACCCAGCTCCTGCACTAGGGCTCAGTTTTAAGGTTCTGCTGGTGTGTAGTTCATGCCCTTCCACTGGGCAGCAATGTTAACATGGAGCTCTAGGGTTGTGGGCGGGCTACGGGGCTCTTAAGATTCATTTCATTCATTCTCAGAAGAAAAACCTGGGCCTTTCATTTTGGTGGAAATGGGGATCAAAAGAGAGATAAGTAGCTATTCCCAGTGTGAACCCTGGGCTCAGTTGCCAAGAAATGAAACAGAAGTTGCTTTCCTTGACATAACATATACATTGTCATTTTGCTTACACTCTGGAAATGTGTTCAATCTGCTCTTAAGATCCACTCAGGTCAAAGAAGCTGAGATTCATGCTCATGTCTAAGCGACATGATCCCAGCCAATATTATTGGAACTTTGCATTTTCGAATATTAGGCCTGGTCCAGACAATAAAGCATGTCCTATTTGCTTTCTAAAGTATTATCATTCTTCAGTGCCACATGCCTGTAATCCTAGTACTCTGGGAGGCTGAGGCAGGAGGACTTCAAGTTCAAACCCATCCTGAGGAACTTAGTGATATAGTGAGACCTTGTCTCAAAATTAAAAAGAGGATTAAGGTTGTAGCTCACTGAAAAATAAAAACAGAAAAGAAAAGAAAACCTGGCAAGAGAAAGAGTGATTGGCATGGCTGGATCCCGAAATTCCTTAGCACTCTTGCAGACTTTACCTTTCTTTTAATCCTGCTAGCCAGTTGGTCTGTGCATGAGGTTGTTTATATCCGGCTGCAGTCTACCCTCAGAGCATATGCCATTGCAGCTCAAGTTAATACCTGTTTTCAACTTTCATGTTTCCTGACTCATTTATCATTGCTAGACTGGTAGATGAAACCAGAATACCTTACTGCCTCATCCATCTCTGCATATCTGCATCTAGGGCTGCTTAATAATTGATACAACACTCATGAATCATCCCACATTCCAATTTCAGGATACTAAAACTTCTGAAACACATACTTTTGTGTTTGCAACATGCTGTTTGGGAGAGCAATTTAAATTGCAAAACATATCCAGCTTGAGACAAAAGCACTTTTGTGTGTGTACAAGAGGAAGTGGCTTTAGCAAAGTTAGAGTAACCATTTCAAATTGTGATCAACAGGAATTGGTCCTTCAAGTTCAACACGGCTTTCACCCTTGAATTGCATGTTTATAGGACAACTCAATATTTCATTAAGTGCCCAGCCTAATCACACTATTGAGCAAGAAACTATAAGCTTGGGCATTCTTTTCCTCTGTTCTACATGAATGTGAATAAAGCACACACAGACTGAAAAAAACAACAGAAGCCAAAAACCATGATGGGATTCAAATGTAGTTAAAATATTTTTTAAAGGAAATCCAGGGTGATATGACGTTTCCCTGGTCCACGTCTATTTGTGCTGATTTAATTTCCACAAAATAGTGGCCTGATAACCCCATTTCTAGTTTGATTGGGACGGTTAAGACTGAGTTTTTTTCCTTTTAAAAATCAGTCTCAGCATCCTACAAAAATTCCAGACCAATAATTTCATACACAAAGTCCTCATTTACCTGAATAATAGATACTGACTTAGCAATTGTGTTCATGTGATTGTGAGGCTGAGAAAAAAGGAGGGAATCCCTGGCTTTCACCCTCAATAGTAAAGTGCCATGTGAGGCTGGAGTCTAGGCAGTGCCAGAGGACTGGGTGGAGGCAGGTATCTGGATTGTTAGGTGACACACAGCTCATACAGCTGGGAAGCTGCTTTGTTAAGATGATGAGTTAGTTTAGACCTAGGGTCTGAACCCAAAGTCCATGGGTGGAAACAACACCTTACTGACCAGGTCACTAGCACTGCCTCTTCACATCAATCATGGGGGTGGAAATGAAAGTGTAATGCAATTTAGCCTTCAGAGCCCATTAAGTGTTTTATCTTTCATCTAAGAAACATCTGGTAGATAATAATATTAAAGCCATTTGCCCTACTTGTATCAGTGGACTAATTCTGCCACTCAATACTTGGAGATATTCTTAATGATGGAGTCAGCTTTAGGTGGTTTTCTGTGTTTCCATCTAGGACAGGGATACCAGCAAGGATGGAAAATGGGGTCAACAGTAGTAAAACAGTGGCAGTTGTCAGGAGGTTTGTGTAGAGAAGACTTTGGGAGGGGGATCACTTCTAGGCTGCAGTGCCTTGATTAATGGGCATTGTGTGCAGCAGAGGCATGTGTGTTTGTGCGTGTGTGTGTATGTGATATGTGTCCTTTGTCATTTCTACGTAGGGATTTTCAGCTAGATTGGCAATGACACTGGATCATTAAACCAACAGGGGATTCTGAGTCTTCCCAGTGGGAATTGCAATTATGTCTCCCATCTACATAAAGCTGTGGTCTCCTTCCTGGGTTTTAGTTTGCAGTCCCAAATGAGGATCTGTCTTCTCTGAGAAGTTTTGATACTTGACAGTGTATTAGAATGTTTCCCACCAAAATAGGAGGGGTGTGGTTTGGTTATGGCTAGGCAAGTTAAGAGGCAACAACACATGTGTTGCATGCTTGCTATCCCTGCCCTACTGTGTGCAATACACATTTTTTTGCCTGACACAGAGTTGATATTTCTGTTACTTGAACAGTGTCTGGCATTTGGAAATAAAATCCTTTTTCTTTCATTTGAATATAATTAATTCTGTGCACACTGGATTTAACTTTGAGTTGGTGCTGGTATTCCTTGCATATGAAAGAATGCAGGTAGAAGGATCCAACAGTTTCAATTCCTAAGATCTTATGATAGCTGCTGTTGCCATTTAACCATGGTTACAGTGCAGGAAATGGTACTGTCTCAATGTTAGTCCACCTGAGTCCCAACTCATTAATGATTAGTAATGAGTTGTGTAGACTTTTTTCCCCCTGCAATGCTAGGGATGGAACCCAGAGCCTCATACTGCTAGGCAAGAACTTTATCACTGAGCTACACCACCAGGCCTGCATAGAGGCTCTTGCTTGGCTATTCTTACCCATTGGTTTTATCCTTGCCTGCCTGCTGTGTCCCACTGTAGAAGCTGAAAAATCCAGAAACACGCTTAGCTTTCCTTGTGCCTGGGGGTGGTCAAATGACTCAGATATGACCAATAAAACACGAAGAAAGCCTATTGGGAGAGGAGTGAGAGAAAATCAGAGATTCTTGAAAAATATTTTCTTCCTTGAATAAAAGGAAGCAGGTAAGGAGAGACCTTCTGGCTGCACTGACAGCTCTTTGCTTCCTTTCTCCGTGTGGTCATGTGTGTTTATGACATGTGGAGCACTGTCAGCCATCATGTGAGCATGAAGCAAGCTAAGCACCTCAAGGCTGAGAGGATAAGTATGACAGAAGGAAAAATGGGATGTCTCTTGCCATCATTAAGCCACAAAAATCTACCTCAGGACCACTTATATCTGGACTTGTTAAAAAACAGACCCTGGTTTAAACCACTACTAGACTTTCTGTTACTTGAATCTGAACATATGCTAATAGACATGTGGTTCCATTTTTGTTTCTTCATAATACTTCATGGAGAGTCAGATTATTAATACGAATTGAATTGGAAAAACTGGTCCCTTGCCCTGCAGCCTCCCTGTACAAACTCTCACATGCACATTCTCAATTTATTCTGCCACCCAACCAATTTTCCTTCCCACCTGTTTGGTTACTACTATCAAGGTAATTTGTTTCTTCCTTTCCCTACTGTGGAGATGCTGCACTGTTTTCCAACCATTCAAATGTGAAAGCAGCTTACTGTGATAGAATGCCCACTCCAATTTACTCATATCCATTATAAAATTATGATTACAAAGGGACCTAGCCACACCCTCCTTAGAAGCCAAGCTCTGGCTACTAATATGCAGGAAGCCCACCATGCTTGCTGAGCTGTGAAAATCCAGATGGCAGGAAGCAGGTGAATAATGAATGCCATGCTGTTCCCATTAATATGCACACAGTTTCCTCAGGATGACCAATTCTCTGGCACTAACCTGGTTTTAGACAAATCAGGGATATGGGGGCTGATGGAGATTTCTTTTTATTGAAAACAAGTTCCTGCAACATAGAAGCCTGGAAGAGACAAATTTCCCACAGTTGGAACAAAACTTGCCCAAAGGGCAAAGGACTCTTAAAAATTATTAAGTCTGTAAGGACAGAAAAATCCAATGGGACATTGACTGCTGTCCAGACTTGCCTGCATGCCTGTTTTACAGTGGAATCTGCTTTCAAGGTGTTTGTCATCTGTCACCTGCTCTTTCAAAAAGCAGAAGAGTAATTAACTGCTCAGACAACACACACTCTGTCAATCATTCAGATCTATTATCTGCACAATATGGGACATTGGCAGCTGACCTCAACACCATTAGGACTTCAGGTCCACACGAGAGAGCTCCCACATCTTTGGGGGACAGGGGCTCCTGGGCAGGCACTGTCCCACCCGAAGAGACTTCAAGGGGCATCTTGCTGGTGCATCTTTGGTCAGAAATTTTGCTGGGCCAGATGTTCTGAAGTAAGAAAGTCATGGTGCCTACTTTGTGAAAGCCAAAATTCTATTTATGAGTTGGCTCAGGTATCATGCAGGGAAGCCTGGTGTGGCTTCTCTCAAACCACAGACAGCTCCCTTGATTGCACAGACCCATTACACCCCTCACTTCTCCATTATCAGCTATCATCTCTTGCCATTAGCGCCTATCACAGTGGCATCTGCATCCCTGTAAATACCTGCCTCAGTCTCTAAACTGTAAATGTCACAAGGGACTTGTTCACCACCGGCACCCCAGTGCCTGAGTATCTCAGCATACAGCAGACACTTCTCAGTTGTTCTTTTCTTTAATAGATTGTTGAATGAGAACCAAAGAGAGCCAAAACCAAAGTGGACCAATCTAGAGAGAATAAATAACCCTAAACAAAGAATCAGCAAACAAAATATTTCTAATGGATGGATGTAGGAAACACTTTCTTAAGGGGTGTGAGGCAAGGGGAATTTCTTACCCAGAATGGTACTTAATGACTACAAAACTAGATAGTGTTTGTAGCATTTGTAGGAAATTAGGGGCCCTAAGAATAATAATAAGAAGAGCAAGCAGATGGGCTAGTGAAGGAAGGGTACCAAGGTAGAGTGCTACTTGGGAGCGTGATGGAGGTGACTTTGAAGAGAGCCAAAGTGAATTCTGAGCAAATAAGCCTGAGAGGAAGGAGCTCTGTTTAATGAATATATATTCTGTACAATGTCCCTGGACTGGATACAGGGATATACTAGGAAAAAAGTCCAAAACACAACTGGCCCTTGGCCTCAGGAGCATTCAATTTAGAGTACTGGGAGTAGAGTTAGACTGAAATATAGCAAAATCCTTAAAGGAGAGGTTGTTAAAAAGACTGTAGTAATGGAGGGCTTTGAACCACAGAAAAAATAATATTTTAACATTTATTTTATTTTATTTTACCTAGAGGGTAGTAAGAAGTCACTAACACAAATTTAAGGTAACATATCTCTACCATATCCCTGCAGTCAAAGGATCTCTATTACTTGTATAAAGGACAAATTGAACACTACACAGACTATGCTCTTTCTTGATCTAGATGGGTCTAAATAAATAAATAAATAGTACAGTAGGAAAAGAGTTGGAATTTTCCTAAAACATGAAGTCTCTATGTCAAACAAAATAAAGATGCTGCTGCTAATAGTTCACAAGGTATTATGCCATGATGGTTTCCAATGGTTTAGAAAAAAAAAAAAGAAAATATTAGATCCAAATATGCCAATTAAAATTTGATGAGTCACTTAAAATCTCTCACTGTTTATGGCTCAAAGTTGGGGTATCTTGAAGAATATTTTAAAATATTACTTTTTTTGGATAACATGCATATTTTAAAAACAGTTGAAAGCAGTATCAGGCATAGTAGGTGAATAGTAAAAGGTAGAATGAATAAACTAATACTGATTTTCATCTCAGCAGGACCCAAACTGTAATATTATTCCTGTGGGAAAGGCACTCTAGTACATACCTACTGGTTTTTTCCTACCCGTGAACAATGGGATACTTAGAAAATGTTTGACTTCATGCAGTTCATTCAGTTCAGACACTGATGAATAATATAAAACGTAGAAAAATCAGGTCAGACTCAATATTGATAGATTCATTTAATTAATTAATCCACTAATTCACCCAAAATGTTCATTAAACATACTATATGTGTCAAGTATTATGTCAGGTATTGGAGAAATCAATTAACAGATAAAATATCTGTCCACAAAGAGGCTATATTCTAATTGTAGGAAAAAGACAATAATAAACACAATAAATTATTGTTAAATAATATATATTTTATTATTATATGTATTATTAAAAGCAAGAAGAGCTGAGTAAGGGTGATGAAATGCTGGAAACTGTGATGTATGAAGGGAGTTCACAGTGAAGGCGTCCACTGTGAAGACATCTATTCGAGGAGTGTTTCAAACAGAAGGCATGGTGGGAAGCTCCTAAAAGGGAAGCATGCACATGTAGGGATCCAGGAGGCTAGGCAGGGCAAAGCAAGAAAAAGGAAGAAGGAGAAATAAGAGGCTTAGATAATGTAGTCTTATAGACCACAGCAAGCACTTTTGCTTTTACTATAAGCGAAGTAGGCACAGCAATGCAAATGAATGTAATGTTATCAAACTGTATACCTAGACATAGTTAAAATAGTACATTTTATGTTACAGGCATTTTATAGCAATTTTTTAAAAAGTGAAATGAAGCCAGCCATGGTGGGGGCATGCCCATAATCCCAGCATTTGGGAGGCTGAGACAGGAGGATCGTCATGAATTAAAGTCAAGCCTGTGCTACACAGTGAGGTCCTATTTCAATCTCTCTCTCTCTCTCTCTCTCTCTCAATGGAAAAGAGAGAGTGAAATGAATGCTGTTGAAGATTATTGTGATGCGGCTTTCCAAGAATCAACGAGGCTTGAATGTTGAGGACAGACTGCAGAGGGTGCAGGTAAGCTCAAACTGTATAATACTGACATAGTCCAGGGAGAAGATGGTGGTGGCTCAGACCAAGGCATTGGATGTGGATGCAGAGAAGTGGTCAGATTCACTATAAAGGTTGAAGGGCACCCTGTCAGGATTTGCCAGTGGACTGATTATAGGTTACAAAAAATGAAGGAATGAACCAAAGATGATTCCAAAGTTTCTGCCTTTAGCAACTGGCCCATTGGAGCTGCCATCATGGAGACTGGGAGTTTTGTGGGTGAAACAGGCTTCTTGGGGAGAAGACTACATGTTTAGTTTCATGCATATAAAATGTGATAGGCTGCTGCCTGCCTCGCAAGCACAGGGACCCGAATTCGATCTCCAGTACCAAAAAAAAAAAAAAAATGATAGGGAGCCAGGCATGGTGACACATGCTTGTAATCCCAACACTCAGGAGGCTGAGGCAGGAGGATTGATTGCCATGAGTTCAAGGCCAGCCTGAACTGCATAGCAAGTCCCTGTTTCAAAAAACAAAATTAAAAAAAAAATGTGACAAGATTCATAGGAGTCTGGAGTTCAAGATAAGGACTTGAGCCATTGATATAAATTTGGGAATTATTAGCATTCAGATAGTATTTAGAGCACAAGACCAGATGAGATCTCAGAGACTATACATAGTAAAAGGAAAGAGCTGAACCTTGGAGCAATTACTTGAAGAAGCCGGGAAAAGTCAGAGAAAAGCAGAAGGAACAACCAGTGAGATGGTGGGGAAGTTAAGAAAGCCTAGTGTCATGGGTGCCAAGCGAAGCCCAGAGGAGTGACTGGCCTCGTCAGACCCTGCTGAGGGGCACAGCGAAAGGTTGAAATTGACCCTTGGACTTAGCATTGTGGAGGTCACTCTTAACTTAGACAAGTACTGTCACTGTGGAATGGTGGGGAGTGGATTTCAGAAAGAACAGGAGGAGAGAAATTGAACATAGTGACTATGAACAACTCTTTCAAGGAGTTTTGCTACAAAAAATTACAAAAAAAAAAAAAAATGAGGTGAGAGGTGGGTGGGCCATGGCTTAGTGGTAGAGCACTTGCCTAGCATGCATGATGCCCTGGGTTCAATCCCCAGGACCACATGAAAAAAAAAAAAAAGTGTAGGTAGGGTAAAAATAAAAAAGTATAAGAAAGGTCAAAATAGGGTTTAAAAAATTGTATTATAGGTATGACAGCAGGTTTATATGTCTACAAGAATGTGTTTATATGTCAACGAGAAAGTTGCAACAGCTAGGGAAAAATTAACAGCGATGAAGAAAACAGGGTGGAATTGCTGAGTGAATACAGAAATGAATGCATGAGTGATAAACCAGTAACCAGGACTGGTTACCACTATTGGATGAAATAAAATTTGTACAGGCTCCATTTCTACTCACAGCCAAAAATGGACAGTAATAAAAATGCTATTGAAGCTCCATCTTCATATAAGGCTTAATAGGATTCCCCAAACATCTAATATTAGAAAGGTTTCTTCCATACTTCAGCATTTCAGAGATCCATTTGACTACTATAAATGAAAATCTCATTTTCCTTTGTTTCTTCCTCCTCCTCCTGCTCTCCCTCTTCCCTTCTCTTTGTCCTGAGGCCAAGAGCCGAAAGACCCTGTTCTTTTAGTAACTGCTGACCTGCCTGCAAAGCAGGAGGCTGCTTACCTGAATACACTGCAATGTGATGAAAAGTCTACACAAGATCACTTCCACATGGGTAGCCTGACCTCCTTATGGCCTTTTCTTGAGTAGCTTTCACCACTGTGCTGATATCTGATAGAAACAAATCTGTCAGAGAGGAGAAAAATATCCACACACTCATCCTTGACCCTGGAAGATTTATAAACACTTTGCAAATGGCTCGAACCAGGTGATGGTGCCAGGAACTTTCCAAGTGATTTGTAGATCACCCTTCCAGGAAGTCAGTCTTTAATGGAAAACTTTTCTAGCTACACATTCCTTTACTATGGCATGACTGCTGGAACAGATTGCAGATGTCATGAAGAAGACTCACTGAAATTAACTAGCTATTGACTTCGCCTCCAGAGATTTCAGTCTAAGAAAAACCTCAATCTTGTCACTGAGGGATGCAGAGTTTTCTACTGAGTTGGCCTGAGTTGCATGCCAGCCCTCGTCCTAGATCTTCCTCATGAACTCTCCTCCTAAATTCATATCTGTTTCCTCATCTGGGGAATACCTACTTTAGCCAGAAGCTGTGCTTTGGGTTTTATCTTATGTCACTTAATCATCACTCCATGACTTCAGCTTCTCCCCCTCTCCATTTTTTCAGATGGAGAAATGGCTCAGAGGGATTAAACAACTTGCCCAAATTTGCAAGATTAATAGATGGGGGAGCTGAGATTTTCACCTAACTCTAATTTCAAAACCTACTTTCTCAACCAATCTCTCGGGTCTTGATTCTGTCCCTCCATTTCTATTACAGTAGTTCTTTAGTGGCTTTTTTGGGGGGGGGGTACTGGGGATTGAACTCTGGTCCTTGTGCTTGCATAGCAGGTAGCAAAACCACTGAGCTAAATCCCCAGCTATTACAGTAGTTCTTGTATCTACTTTCTTTTATCTATAACTCCTTTGTAAAAACATCCCTTTTAAGCCATTCACTCACAGCTGTAGGTTTTACTTATTAGCATGGCAGAGTTTATCTTCTAGACCCAACTTAACTTTTTCATCCTTATCACATATCTGATATTTTAGCAAGATTTAATTCTTCAAACTCCCCGAGTAAAAAAGTCTCTGCTGACCAACTTTGATGCCATTTCATTTACCTGAGACATTTTCTCCCATTACTTGTGCTTGCTGACATTTCACTCTCCTAGACAGTATGTCCCTCAAGGGCAGAATCTTATCCACTATTAGACTCTATAGAGACCTAGTATAGGGCCTGGCACATAGCAGATTTGAAAAAACAATACCTGTTGACTGGCTGAATGAAAAAATGAATACAATGGATTCTCCAAGACTAGCTCAAATTCTACCTGTTCCAAGAAATCCCCCATAAGCTTTCTCCTCTGATTGGAAACAACTCCTACAACTCTCTGAATTTCATATCCTACTCAGGACATTCTCACTTACATGTATACTTGTTCTGCTTTGCTTACCTAAACACATTTCATTAAGGGCAGAATTCATATTTTACTCATCTTTGACTCCAACAAAGTGCACATGTTTGATGAATGAAGAGCTACAACCTGAAAGCTTTTCTAAGGATACAAGATCCAGTTGAAAATTAGTATCCTTTAGATACCAAGCAAGGATTGTTTCCATTTCAAATGTCACTAACCTAGTTGGCATCTTCTCATTGAACATGATTCATTTACATTTGATTATGGTACAAATGTTGATCAATGGCTTGAATATACCAAGAGTATACAGTCTTTCCCTAACTAGATTATAAGCTCCCTGAAGACAGAATCATCTTTATTTTAATAGAGAGCATCTCTCTTAGCACCTAGGATCACATACTGTGCATAGCCAACATGACATAAACAGTCCACAGCTAGAGATTTAGGATTCTTATGGGGGCAATCGATAGTTTGCCCGCATAATACACATGACAGCTCTTCCCTCAACTTAAAGTCACATATGGTCCATTTTTGCCTACAGCTTACTATTATTTTTAATGGTCCATTGCTATAGGGACATGTCTGAAATAAAATCAGTTCTTAAAAAATCAAGTACTGAGACCATTTTCAGAAGCACTGCTTCAGGCATAGCAGATGGGTGAGATATGGAAATTGGATCATATTTTTGAATTTCCAAGGACTCTCCTTTTGGGGAATATTTCAAGTAATATTTCCAAAAGCCTAAGTTATGGCGTTTGGAGAGTGTGGAAAAGCTTAGGGCTTTAAAAATTCAATTATTATTAAATGCAGTAGCAAAATTCCTTTCTGTCCAGTACACCAGAGCTGATTCTTAGCCTTTAGTGTGATGCATTGATTATTTAATATTTTTTTCAGGCAACTGAAGGAATCAAAGCACTAAACACCAAAGGTATAGATTCAACACTGGCACCAATCTCAAATACATGCGTTTCTTCAACTGAACTCAAATCAATAGCAAAATCTACTGGAGGCATTTTGGGTTAACACACACTTGCTAACTTAATACCAAGCAAAGTTTGTGGACTGGCCTTTTCCTACCTCTCAAACGTCATCTTAAACACCTTCTGACCCCCTTTTTCTTTATATTCCAGTCCCATTTTTGCTTTCAGGATCTCATAAATTTTCTGCTTTCCTCTACTTTGAGGTCTTCAAATATTCTGCTCTCTTTGCCTAAAGTAATCCCCTTCATCTCTTTTCCTTGGCTACCATGTCTTCATTTTTAGAAATTTCAGTTTAAATAGCACCTGTTAAGAGAGCTTTTTCTGAAAGCAAATTTCAAGTCTCTCTACATAGCTGTGTATAACACCCGGTGCTTTTCCTTTAAAGCACCCATCAGCATTCATTATTTTGTATTTGTTTGTGTTTATTGTTATTGTCTGTCTCCCTTGTATGACTTGCATAATTAATCAGGGCAAGGAGCATAGCTGATTTTTTTTTTTTTTGCCATGGTTTTCCAGGGCCCTATGACACATAGTAAACATGCAACCAATGTTCAGTGTATGATTTCTTAGAATATTTATTAATAGTTGTCGCCAGATTATTGAGTTCATATTCTCTAATATTATTCTTGTACACACGCACGCACATACACACGCACACTGGGTGTAGCAGACCTATGGGATTATGAAAATTTAAAAAATCTACATTGGCCTCATTCTCTTTGATAAGCTAATCATATACATAAAAATGCATTAGAAAATGTACACACACCCTTCTGATACTTAAGTTCTAGCTTTTGACTGAATCAGTCTCCACCCTTTTGATTTTCAGGAAGAAAGGCAATAGAACACCAGAGACCGGGTGGGAAGATCTTTATGTGCCAAGAAGTCTGATCCACTGAACTATTCCAGGAAACACGCAGTTTGAATTGGATTGCCTGACCGCTGAGAAGGAATTTCTGGATTAGACAGTTTATTAGTGGCCGAGTCAGCTTTGAGGGCCTGTCAGTCCTTGCCCTGCATGCCTGGAGTGAGCGGAGTGACAAGGCAAAGGCTGCTTGAGTGACAGCTGCTGGGAGCCTCTTGGAATAATGGCAGAGACAGCAGCCACCTAGAGGCATCAGCCAAGCCTTAGGCTCCGGAGCCCAAGCTGCACACAGCTGAAAATGAGGTTTGCTGTCAGCCAGAGCTATTCACTGAGCACCTTCTACATGTCTAAACCAGAGCATTGTTTTGAGAAAGAATTTGAAGGTGGCCAATAGCAGCCCCTACCACAGCTTCTCTTACAGCCTCAGCATTTACTAGCTGGCTAACCTTGGATACATATTACTTCACCTCCCCTTCTCCCACTTACCTCATCTGTAAAGTGGTGATAATGACTCATACCAAGGATTACATGAATAAAGTTACGCAAAACACTTAGAATGGTGCCTGGCACACACAAGTACTAGTTTCTAGAGTAACACTTTACCCAGAAGTAATGTAGCAAATGGTTAACAAGATGATTAGAGGTCAGAAAGATACAGTTCAGCTCTGCTCTTCATAAGTGACATGACTTTGTGTAAGTTACTTGAACTCTCTGAACCTCAGTTTATCTGTAAAATAAGGATAATATTGGTACCACTTTGGAGAGGAATTACGAGGGTGAGATAAAAGCAGCAGGGTAAGGAGCTTGGTGCCCGGTGCCTTGTGGCTGCTCAGTAACTACGGTGGCTTCTTGTTCTTCCTGTGGCTCACTTCCCTGGGTCCCAGAGAAGGCAGCACAGCCTCCACAGCCCCGCACAGTGGGGCCAAAACTCCCAGCTACAGAGCCTGGGTCAACCTCTCATCAGCAGAGTCGTTTAATTCAGACTCGTTTTATTTAACACTGCAGTGTTTGCCCACACAAAGCTTTTCAGTATTTTGAATGAATTGCCAACAAGTAAAAATGACAAAATTTCATTTTGAAAATCTACACTTTTCAGTTTCTTTAGAAAAATAAAAGATTGCAGAATTGGGCTGGCATTCCCACATGGCCAATCCTGACTGGAGCTGGGCAGTGGAAGCTCCCTATAAAACTGCAGTGTCTTGAATTTATTGCGTCTCCTACTATTCCCTAGTGTACCAGCAGCCTTGAGGCTGAACATCAGTGGCCACTTTTTCTACCTCTCTATATTCATCTTTTATGTTCCTTGGCCTCATAGGCATGTATGTCAGCAGCTGCTCATCTTGACTGTTCACTGGAATTCTCTGCAGACTGGTCCCTACACAAGGCTGCATGAAAGGAAGTAACTCCTTTATCCACACTGACTCAGGCTATTTGTCTGACTGACAGGTGACTCTCCACTGAGATGAGCACGTCACTGGAGAGCAGTCTGTCACCCATGAGATAACCCCATTCATTCACTACTCACCCTGAATCTTCTTCAATTCCACTTAGGCTAAGAGTAGAGGCTATAGGACAAGGATAGGGCTGCTTTACAACCATGCTTTGGACCTGAGCTCTCTAATACATATTTTATAGATTACCAGTTTCTTGAAATGTGGTTCCTTGTGAGAAAAATGCCAAACACTTTTGAGAAATAGTTCATACATTATCCATCCTATTGAGGATTTATCAGGGCAAATAAAAGATTCAGAAGTCCTCTAAAGAAGAAATTGGTCTACAATTCATACATTTAACAGATATTTATTAACCATCTACTATGTGTCAGGCACTGTTCCTCTTGGTATTGGGGATTTAGTACTGGCAGAAAATATCCCGAACTTAGGTAACTTGTTCTAAAGTGAGTAAAGCAGGATGCTTCAGCCTGTTTCTAAATTTATGTGATTGTAAAATGCTGCTGAGAAATATTGCTTTACATATCATCCACAGCCTATTGCTGTTTTCTAGTTCCAGAGGACTTTCACGAGAGGAAGATGATGCAAACTTTTCACTAGGCATAAGAATCATGGACCACTCCGGAGCATTTCTCAGCTGGAGAAACACACAATTATTTTTTTCTTGAAAAATCAAACAGCCCACTAGGGCAGCCTTAATTTGGGAAGAACCGCAGCCCACCTGGGACCTCCAATTTGGCCAATGTTTCTGAGAACATCATATTAGGAGTTGACTTTCACTTCCAAAGCAGAGCTGCTTTTCTCTACCCCTAATATAACCCAGTTGCAAATGTATTTGTTTTTCACTGTTTAATCTTCTGCATCAGCCACTGTTGATTAGATCTAATTAATTTATGTTTCTAATGAATTTAGAAACTCCAGTGCTGTAGCAGGAACATTTTCAGACAGCATCTGGCCACTAAATGGATTGATTACCTTGTCTGCAGAAGTCTTTCAAACATCTGGGGCCTGATTTTGTGAGGCATCCAGAAGCTTTTTCAGAGGCAAGAAAACCCTCACCAAATATTGAGGGGAGAAAGAGAAGATGCTAGAAATAGGTAGGGTTTGCTTTGATTTACAAATCTGGATCCTGGCACTCCTCCAAGATGAAATCACATTTTGTTGTTCATTGGCATGGTTTCAATGACACCAAATAGACTGATCTGAATCTATTTTGTTCAACATAATCAGAATCCACCAGGCCCGAGCCCAGGCTGCCACCCTGTGAACTTCTTTGGCACTTCCTTCTGTATGGAAGTGCCCACTGATCGTTAAGATTAAACATTTACAGAAAACATTTAGAGAGGAGCATTTTGCTCTCATTCATTCAACAAACACTTATCAGGGCCCACTGTGTGCCTGGCCCTGGGCCATGTGCCCCTCTTCATTAGCTGCTCTTGGCAACCACCCCAGAGGCTGGACAGGCACTGCTTTCCCCGTTTCACAGATAGGATTCAGTGAGATACAAAAATGCCAGTGACTATTAAGGGTAACATGAGCACTACTAGTAGAGGACACAAAGATGCATGTGTTTACACACACACACACACACACACACAATGAATGAATTCCCCCCAGTTACCCAGCTTGCATCTGGCACTGCCTGCCTTCTAACTGGCTCTTAGCCACTTGGCTTTATGACCTTCCAGATACCATTTAATGAAGACTACTATGTGTTAGGCACTATCCTAGGAGCTTCACTGTGTTATATTTTAATTTAAACCTGCACCTTATACAGTAAGTATCATTATTCCTAGACAAAGAAGCTCAAGCTCAGAAACAAGGAGAGCTAGCAACAGAGCTCAGGCTTGGCTCATGTTTGCAGATGGATGAAGGCCGCTTGGTGCTTACAGAGTTACCTGCTAACAGAAACTAAAAAACTGGTATTGGGAAGGGAACAACTTTCTCAAGATGCACCGGGCTGGCTGGACAAGTCAGGAGAGGGGGTGGCCTGGCTCCTTTGCAAGCCAACCACTCCAGGAAAAGAGAAGCTAAAGAATGGACAGGGGTAAGTGAAAGATGTGGGAATCTCATTTCCTGAATGGGTTTTCTGGCTCAAGTTCAAAGGGAAATGACTGACAACCAGGTGGTTGCCCACAATATAAACTGTTATAAAAAGCCTGTAACGCTGGACATCTGAAAATTTCTCAACAACAAACACAGACTGGTCACAATCAGACTGCCACTGTTCTATGCCTATTAAGGAAACTGGTTTGATTGGTTCTTGTGACAGAATGCAATGTACTGAGTCTGGTCCTTCTCTTGTTAGAACAACCACTTATTTCCTTCTACTGTCTTGCCACTGCCTCAACATGGACAATTTCTCTACTTCTCTGGCCCTTTCTATGTGTTCCCTCTCTCCTATCCCCAGCTCAATCTGCCCCTTGTTCTGGCTCACTCCCATTGGTCAATCCTCAATCTCTTCCTCTAGGAAGCCTTTTCTGACTTCCTTATTGTGGGTTAGGTGACTATTTTAAGTGTGACCTGTATTTCTTCCCATTATGGGATTTATTATAGTAATTTAACTGTTTATTTGTTGGTCTTCTCCTGAGAGCACATACTTGTCTGAGTCTGGCACCTAATAGTACCCAATAAATAGCGAAGGGGAAGGACTGTGAGCCTCACAATTCCTTTTCGGCTGGTCTGTTTGAAATCTCTCATTTCCACACTTTATGCTACATTGCAAAAGTCATTAAAATCCCCTTTAAACTTTTGTTGTGTCATTTACCTTTATGTAACTTTTCCTGGAACACTTACATAGAAGTCAGAATAGTGGTTGTCTCTGGGGACAAAGGGTTAAGAGGGGGCATGTAGGGTCCAAACCATTCTACACCTCGATCTGGGAGTATGCTTGTGCAAAAATCATTGAGACGAACACCAAAGACTAATGCCCTTCTTGTAAGTAATTAATATCTCAGTATAAACAAATCATTTGAGACCTCCTTGGCTCAGAGTTCATGGTTCCTCACTAATTGGCCTAATTGTTAATATACTTGTTCAAATTCACTTTTTACAAAGGTAGGCAGTGATCTTCTTGAGCTATTCTTACTCTTTCTTACTTCTTTGCTTAAAAGCATAATGAAAAATAAACATTTCTCTTTTCTTTTCCTTCCATAAATTCTTTCCACTTTTGAAAGATCAAGACAAATCCATCCTCAGTCTCAACAAATCCATAAATCTTATTAACGTCTCTTTTCTCTGAACCCTTGACTCTTTTATGTGGTTTATTCATTCATGCCAAGATTTTCTCAAGATAGTAAGCTCCTTGAAGGCAGGAATTTTATTTTGCTTTAGTTTTTATATTTAGTAAAGTTCTTGGTACAATAGTTGGTTATCAGCATGCAGTTCTTGTCAATATAATGGGGGGCTACCTATGTGCCCAGTCTCTTGGTAGCTCTGAGTTTGTATGGAGAATAAAAAGCCAAATTGCTTAAGTCCTCTAAAATGAAAACTTAGTGGTACCGTTAAGCCTATGGAGTTTCAAAGTTAGGTTTTGCAATACATTGGCTTTATGATCCAGTACAATAAATTGCTATCACCAAAACTCAGTTTCCTTATTTGCGAAAGAAGGACTTTCTTATGGGGCTGTTTTGAGAATTACATAAGAATATTAGTATTTTATTATTTAACATTTATTAGTCACTTTGCTAAAGAAAATGCAATCATATCCAAATAAAAGTCTGTGCTGTCAGTACTATGTGAAAGATCCAGCACAATCACTGATTCACAGGAACATGGGAGGTATTATTATCAAACGCTATTAAAAAGAAATGTATAGTGTCATAGAGAGAAACATATGAATTAGAAGGTAAAAATGTGGAAAGCAACAAGAGAGGATTTGTGAGCTACACACATGTGCACACAAACGTAAGAGTGAATTTAATCTATAAGAAATTCCTTGGGGAAATTCCATCACATCCCATTAACACAGTCCCAAAGGCAAGAGCTGGCCTCTGATCTTTACATTTTTAATATCTTTGAAAAAATTCTGAAACCATAATCATCTTGAAATGGTATACAAAGGCAAGGATGTCTGGGAGCTGTGAAAGCATTCTATTTTAGTTCTCCCTCACAAAATTCTTTAATCATCATAATTCCTAGTGCTTTCCTTCAAACTTTTGACCTTCGGATTAGCTCTTTGATTGCTCAACAGGATTTTGACAGACAGGAAGGGAGAACACCGAGGAACAAGTTCTCAGTGTGTTCTTACATACTCATTTACAAGACAACAGTTTAATAATTGTAATTCATATATACTTTTATTCGTGCAATCAATAATTCATAGCAATTCCTCTGCAGCATTTTTAGTGACAACAGAAAGGGCAAGATATTTCTTCTCTTCTTTTCGCCCACCTTTCTTTAGTCACGCCTGGAGCCTGGAGAGTACAAAATCTCAAGAAAACAGTTTCCATGGTGATTTTTCCTTTGAGTACCCAACTGTATTTCACTCTTTCTGGAGTGTATTAATGCTTTTTATTGCTCTCATGCTAAATATATTGAAGATTAGATTTGATTTCTTCTGCAGTGATACAGTTTTATCAGGAAAATGGAAAGTAAAAACACAGCATGAAGAAACTGTATCTTTCGGTCAGTATACTGTCATGAAAAGGTGCATGGGGGTGCATTTCAGAAAAAATAACCAGCCATAGGGAAATGGATGCAGTTGTCTGGAAGGTAGGTTATGCATGCCTGCATCTAAATGTTGGAAAGCCTGCCCTTAGGAGGAAATGATCTTAATTCCTTCATCTGTTGAAGGTGGTGTAAGTTGACCATAAAATACTTAGTTACAAGAAATGTCCTGATTTTTAATATGCTATCCTCTTCTCAGCACAGAAAATACAAATCATACAGAACATGGAAATCTTCAAACGCACAGTATCATGCCTTCTTTGTATTTTGTTATGGAGAATTTTGCTTTTCCTTAATTCTAAATTGGTCTTTTTTGCTTGTCAAATAGACAACCTTCCTAAGCCTCCCATAGCAACCTGAATTTCCTGAAATTGAACCTATTGCACTAATACTTATGAACTATATGTTCATTTTCCCCATGTGACTCTAATAAGCAGCACCTGTGTCTCTCCTGTTCACTGTACCTTGAGTCTAGCACAGCTGATGGAGGAACTGGAAATTATAACAAGAAAACCAAGAGAGGAACTTTAATCTCCTTTGTAAAGTATCAGTGAAATATGTTCACTGGAGATGGAAACTTACGTAAATTAGAAACGCTCAGATTCTAGCAACAGGTACTGGCTTTCATGGTCTCAGCAGCCCTAAGCCCTGCTCTTTTCCTGCCTTAAAGGCAATGGGGTTAAAGGAAAGAACTACCCTCATAGCTTGTAGCCAAGTAACCTCTATGGACCAGGTAAGTAAGACGAAAACTGGGATTTTAGCCAATGTTAGCTAACCAGTGAACCAGTGAGCATTTAGCATCTATGCCAAACCACATATTATGGCCTTAGGTGATGCTGGGGACAAACTGCTGAGTGCAAGAATTATTGACCCCTGGTAAGTTTGTAGTGCAGGAAGGATTCTTTTTGGATCAGAGAGAAGGGGGCTGTGGGTGAGTATAAACATATGTAGTATACCCTGGATAATAACAGTGACAACTAAGGTTTATCAAACAACTTTTAAAATATGCTTCTGAGCACCATCTGTGTATGAACTTACTTGATTCTCATAATGAATCTCTGTGCTGACACTATTATTTTTCCTTTACATATAAAGAAATTGAGATTTAGAAAGGCTAGGCAACTTGCTCCTGGAAACTACCATACAATTCTTTACTTTTATGAGTTTGAATTTTTTAGAATCCATATATAAGTGTGATCATTCAGTATTTCTCTTTCTGTTTCTAGATGAAGTTTTCAATTTTACTTCTGCTTCTTTGACAGTATTCTATTTCTTAGTTTTCTGCAATAAGTATTTATGATTTTAAATACCATAAAATAGCACATTTTTAAAGAGCAATGACAAGGAAAAGACAGATTTAGTGAATGTTAGAACACAGAATCAGGAGGGGAACAAAAAAGGTCTTATTTCTGACATTTACCCATTATACTGTGTGGCTCCAAAAAATGAAATACTTTAAAAGGAGATCCTATCCCCATATTTCATAAGAGAAAGTTTTTCTAATTAAGAAGCAACAACATGAAATAAGTCTCTTTTCTCCTCCCACCAAAGTGGATGTGATTTTGTTCTTTATGTATCCAGGGTCAGGGTGTTAACCAGTCTCTGTGGGTCTGTTGGACTCCAGAGCCTGTTGGTTAACATGCTGTGCTCCTGCCCTTCCCGCTGCAGAGTCATCTCCGACATGTTGAAAGACTATACTTTTATCATGAAAAGGCAAGGTGAGGAGGGCAGTCTGAAGAGCTCAGGGGAATCAGGCCAGATGGTGGCCAGAGATACTCTGCATTTTCAGAACGTGATAAAGTCTCTGGCTCTCAGTGGAGAGGGGGAGGGGATGCCCAGGCATCTAGGAGGTGTGGGCTGTGAGGGAAGAACACAGATTAGATGAGTCTTCCTGCTGGAGCTATATGCAGCACTCCAGCTGGCTCCTTTTCCAATCTCATGATTAACTAATCCAAGGATCATATTTTGTTAATCTTCTCATAAATAAAATATTATACACATCATGAAGACATCCCTGATATCCCTGACACCAAGTCAGGTAGAATGGATGACAACAAAAATGGGGGCTTTTCAGATACTGTATTTATAGTTACTGCCAGGTACCAATACTTAAAATGTCTGTAAAATCACCAGGGATGTTTGGGACCTGATGTTTGGTGCAGCCCTTTGGAGCCAGATTGCTACCAGAAGTTTTTCAGGGTTTCTGTTTACAGTACTGGGCAGAGAAGTAAAATGATTTTGCACAGACTTTATACTGCACTATAGCTGTTATTATTTTATTAAATAACTGGTAGCAGAGAGAAGACCAACTCGCATTTCTGTATTTTCTCCTCCTCTGCCTCTTCATTTTCCCTCACTTCTCATTAAGTTTAAGTGACTGAGAGCTCAGGTCTGAAGTTAGATGAATTTGGGGAGCAAAACAGAGTCTGCCATCTATACATAACTGTGAGGTCTAGGGGAAGTCGTCACCCACATTCTCAATTCAGTCTCCCCCTTTACACAGGGTAGATGTGAGGATGAAATGAGATAATACAAATAAAGCAGCTAGCAAAATGCCTGCCATCTGTTCAGTGCTCACTAAATTTCAGAAAGGGGAAAAAACTAAAAACATAAAACAACAACAACAACAAGAACAAACCAGTGTGATTCGGCTGAGTATGTTCCTTGAAATATTTTTGACCTTCCTCTAAGAGAAGTTTATCATCTTACAACAGGGTCAAACTAATTTTTCTATCTATATTGTTGGCCATAGCTTTTCTTTTTCATCCCAAAGTTAGAATCATAAATTGTTCCTGGAGAGTTGATGATTAAGGTGAGGTCCAAGGACTCTCCCTGTTTACTGCTTGAAAACAACCTTTTGTGGAGATCTTTGATGGATTGTAGGAATATTTATGACTCAGGCCTCCTGGCAAAGACCCTGATGCTGACTCATTCATTACCCTGAGAGAGGAAGAAGAAGCAGTTGAAATCATCATTCATTTATTCTGCTTCTTAGTGATGGTGAGAGGTCAAAGCAAAGCCACTCAGTGTAGGCTGAATATGAGAATCAGAATTTTAATAGCATCTTTTTGACCACTAGAGCAAAAAGCATTTATTTCTATTTTTAATTCTTTTATTGGTACATTTTAGGTATACAATACGTTTACATTTATCATTGGGTGCTTGTACCTGTACATGATGTATCTTGGTTCTTATTTTTTCCCCATTACCTGTGCA